ATAGAGATAGAATGAAGCAGAATGATGAAAAAGAGGTCCCTATGTCCTCCAGCAGTGACCCTGACCTGGACCCTAATGCTGACAGGTCACACATGACCGTAATCTGAATGTTTCTGTTTGCAGGGATTCTGTAAAGCTGCTGCTCGCTGCTGGAGCTGCGTTAAAAGCAGAGGAGTGGACTTATGCTCTTGCAACGGACAAAACGGATCTGCTGGAACTGATTCTGGACTACAGGTGGATCCGCGGACCAGAAGCTTTTCACAAAGACATTCCAGCAGGACGCCACGGTGGGAAGACGGTGCTGAAGCTGCAGGAACTGAGAGAGCTGGTCTGTGTAGCGCTGAGCCAAGTGAACTTTGCCTCCTGTTGGCTTCCTGTGCTTCTGAACAAAGGACTGGATCCATATCTGCTGCTGCACCCCCACATGTAACCCCCCCCAGCCTTGCTCCTTCAAAGGCCCTTTTGTTACAGCAGAGATGAAGCCAGATGTTTTTGTCTTTTGTTTCATGCAGGCTGGAGAAAGCAGAGAGTGACGTGCTGAACTTCCTGCTCCAGTTCATAAACTGGTCGACTCTTCCTCCTCCTCTGAAGATCATTTTGGAGCAGAGGGAGGCAGAGGGAACTTGGGAACCTCTCGCTCATTTTGGTACCCAGTGAAAATGCCTACTTCAGTTCGGATGCTGTTACCTGAACACTCAGCTGACGGATCTTTTCTCCACATTTCAGCTTCGGTTCCGTCTCTTTTCCACCTCTGCCGGCTGAAGGTCCGAGATGCGCTGGGCCCGGATCAGCTGATGACGACGGATGCAGTCCAGCAGCTGCCTGTTCCGTCTCCACTCCATGTTTTCCTTCAATTCAGGGACATCCAAAAGCCTTCCTACACCCGCCCCCCTCCGTCACCCGTTATAAACCGCGTAGAGAGACACCGCAGCGCTCACCAGCACAGACATGTTTTATAAACACATTTCACTCCCTCTCATCTCCGTTTATAGATCTATCAGAGACATTTCTGCCCTTCTGTAGATATTTCTATCTTAGAATATCAGTCCTGAGAGGAGTTCATCATCAAACCGAATTATAGAAACACTCCATAATGTCCTCATGTTGTTCCTGAATATTAATTCTGGCTATTTGGAATGTAGTTAAGAAAATAAATAAAAATATATTTTCACTAATATTTTTGTGTTCTTTGGGGTTATGTATATTATTTTTCCCCTCTATATCCTTCAGATATTCTGTTCTTGTAAAAAAAATAAAAATAGGAACTAGGATTCCTCTTATTATTTATTATATTCTTAGAACATAACTATTCCAAGAATAAATCCTTAGAATAGTTATTTAGTAAAACATTTAGAATAAAGCACTTTCAGCTTCCAGGGCATGCTGGTAATAAAACTAAATAAGTTCATTTTGTCTTGAATTCAGGAGGTAAGAGAGACACTTTGCTAATGGAACAAGATCATTATCATTTGAAATAAGAAAAAATACATCGCCTTATCTCAAGTGCATATTAATTTAAGAGTAAAAAAAACAACTAATTCAGTTGGCAAATAATTTTATTTACTTGCTCAAATTAAGGGTAAATATTACGGATTAGGGTTTGTGGTGAGCAACAGGTTGGGGCAGCACCAAGTCCAACCACAGAGAAATTAATTGTCTGGATGAAACTAATTATTTTGATGGATTTTATTTAAATACCAACAGGCCAGAATAAAAATGAGCTAAAATGAAACAAAACTAATGAGATTATTTTTAATGAAAAAAAAATGTTAACTGATTTTTATTTTTTATTTTATTTCAGTATAGTATGGGGAAAAAAGTCAGAATTCTGACTTTAATCTCAGAATTCTGACTTTTTTTATTGTCAGAATTCAGTCAGAATTTTTAGAAAAAAGTCAGAAGTCAAAAGTCTTCTGTAAAATATACTTAATTTAAGAAATGTTGATTTATTTCTAGATCGTTTTTGCAGTGCAGATTTCATATCTTGTTCTTAATAGGAAGTGCTTTGATTGTTCATTTTAATTATTGTTTAGCCAATAGAATGGATCTCTATGGAATAGGATTA